GTTAAAAAAATCTACAAAAAAAGTGTAATAAAAAATAAACTTAAAAATTAAACAAACAAAATATAAAATAAAGAATATTAAAATAATTATTATTAAAAAATAAAAAAATAAATTCTATAAAGAAAGAACAATAATAATAAAAAACTATTCAAAAGCTAAACAAATAAAAATATACAAAATACAAAATAAAGAATATCAAATATTTATTATCTAAAAAAATAGAAAAAATATTTAAAATTCTTGCAAAAAATAATAAAAAGTATTTAAAAACAAAATTAAACAAAAAAAGTGAATGAAACTACTAAATGCTTATACTATTTCAAGAATATTATATTCAAATTATATTCAAATTCTAAGATAATATTTAATTTTACGTATATTTTAAGCAGCATTATGATGGGTCAGAATATATAAAGCAGTTGGATACTGTTCAAAAAATATTTGCTTAAAATATTTTTAAAGTAATTCTTATATATCTTCACTTCACCAATGGTACAAGAATGTATCAATGAAAATTTAATAAAAAATGTTATTTAATATATAATTTGTTTCCTTAATTATTTTATTAGCACATAACAATCGGAGTTAAAGAAATAGCAAAATTCGCTTCGCTGCATGTATTTTTCAAAAACGACTAGAACACTTATTGTACCGTATGTGTGGTTAAATAAATATATTTTTTTCAGGAATAAATGTAGGGAATTGATATTTCCACACCGTTTTTTGATATTGCCATACCTCTACTATCTCAAACCCTAATCAAAACCTTAATAATTTATATTGAGTTTTAATATCATAGATGTGGCAATATCAAAATAGGGTGTGGAAATATCAAATTTCTAAATTTAACACACTGAGAACTTAAAAAATATTCACTTCCGGGTTTCAATTTTATAAAAATAAGTTTCTGCTAATTTTGGATTTCGGAAAGGGTTTCGGGTTTCGAATCGGGGCTTCAGAGTTACGGTTTCGTCAAAATCGTTAAAAATTTCGGTGTATAGCGTACATAGTGGCTGTGCCCCAAATTTTAAAATCAAGTTAGGCCCGTACCTAGAGTTTGGAACCGGTTCATTTTCATCTATTAAAACCGGTCCAAGCTCTACCCGTGCCTAAGCATTTTTTTTGTACAGACATGTGTCTCCAACCCGTATTATCCTATTTGTTACACACGATCTCATCCTTCAAATTCTAGATCGGCCGACTCCTTTCCAAATGACGTGTGGATCGACAACTTTAAAGCCCAGTACGCATTATTAACTGCCTACGTTAACGATATAAACTTGCACTTGTACATACATTTTTGCAGAAGGACCTATCAACCTTTTCACATTCAATAAAGCGGTCTATGTCTGTAATTCTGGGCTAATTTGGCATTATAATAATAAAGTCTCTTCCATGGTTGGTTACAACATCGGCTTGGGGCATTAATTGATTGGCTGTGATTGGCTTAAATTATAGTAATATCCTTACTCAATTTAGGCAAATTGATATTTGCATCTGAGACACAACACATGCAAGGAAATCCTAAACTAACGTTTCACAACATTTTATATTGCTATATATATATACAGTACAGTATTGAATTTTTACACATAACGATACGTATCAGTATGCATTAAAATTAAATTCCTTCTAAAATGATACAACTACCGAGCGAATTGCTTTTTAGTATATTTAATAATTTCAGTACTCATTATAAAAGCTTATTTTCATGTCTTCTTGTAAACCGCCAATGGTGTAGAACAGTTGTACCAATACTATGGAGCGAACCAACGAATTATATTTGTGATGAAAAGCTTTTAATAATATATCTTTTAATGTTAAATTCCGAAGAACAAGCACCATTAATTCCTTTTCAAATTAATCTTCCAAATTATCCAAAACTACTATTTGATTATACAAGCTATACTATATCTGTTGGCTATGGTCTGCATAGTGGAATCAAAAACTGGATTTATAATGGAAAACGTCAAAGAGTTTCTAATCTTAGAAATATCATTACGGATAATTTTGGAAGCATTGCAAATAATCTTGAAAACACCATCATATGTTCTATGATTGCAATGTTTTTACGAACAAGTCATAAACTTAATTACTTAAGACTTGGCGAAATGATTTATAATAAAAAAATATTTGAAAATCTTTATAAAAACACGACTATTATTTCTATTGACTATAAGATTAAAAATTATTCTGGATTCAAAGCAGTAGTCAAGATCCTTTGTGAAAATGCTATACTGACTTCTTTAAATCTTAGCTATAGTCGACTTGGTTCTATAGAAAGAAAAGAATTAGCAAAAGTTCTTTACAAGAACATTACACTGACTTCTTTAAACTTTAGTAATAATAAATTTGGTTTAGAAGGGGCAAAAATATTTGCAGAAATTCTTTTCAAGAATACTGTTTTGACTTATTTGAACCTTAGCCACAATGAAATTTGTTCTAAAGGAGGAAAAGCAATAGCGGATGCTTTATGCAAGAACACTACTCTGACTTCTTTGGATCTTAACTGTAATCGAATTTGGTCTGCTGGAGGAAAAGCATTAGCAGATGCCCTATGCAAGAACACTACTCTGACTTCTTTAAATTTTGGTGCTAATAATATCCATTCTGAAGAAGGGAAGGCATTAGCAGATGCTCTATGCAAAAATACTACACTTATTTCTTTGAACCTTAGTCATAATAATCTTAATTCTGTGAGAGAAGCTCAGCCTTTGATGTTTGGCCAACCTATTTTTGCTTCCGAGGGAATGAAATCATTAGCAGAGGCGTTATGCAAGAATACTACTCTGATTTCTTTAAATCTTAGTGCTAATAGCATTCATTCTAGGGGTGGAAAAATATTGGCAGACGTTTTATGCAAAAACGCTACACTAACTTCTTTGGACCTTAGCAATAATAAGCTTAATTTGGTGGAAGAAAGTTTTTTGAGTTTTTTGGATTTTAGCTATAGTAACATTACTTCAGAAGGAGTGAAAGCATTAGCAAAGGCACTATGCAAGAATGCTACTCTCACCTCTTTAAATCTTTGTTATAATTTTATTAATTCTGAAGGAGGAAAAGCATTGGCAGATGCTTTATGCAAGAACACTACTCTAACCTTTTTAAATCTTAGATGTAATCAACTTAATTCTGTGGGAGGAAAAGCATTAGCAGAGAGTTTATGCAAAAACTCCACTCTAATTTCTTTAGATCTTCGTAGTAATCATATTTGTTCTGAAGGAGGTAAAGCATTTGCAGAGGCTTTATGCAAGAATACTAAACTAAGTTCTCTAAATCTTAGCTACAATGATATTGATTCTGAAGGGAAAAAAGCATTAGCAGATGCACTCTGTAAGAACACTACACTAACTTCTTTGGATCTTAGCTATAATGACACTGATTTTGAAGAGAGAATGTTTGCAGATTTCTATCCTTTTTGTCCTTGCAAAAATTACTTTATCTGAAAGAGGAATACTTAGCAGAAGCATTATGCAAAAGCACTACTTTTGATTTCTTTGTATCTTAGCAATAATCAATTTTTAAAGTGGAGACATATTAGCAAAGATAATTTGCATGAACTTTATTCTAAATTCTTTGATCTTAACCACAATCAGTTCTGAGGAAGATATATTAACAGCAGTTTTTTTACAAAATATTACTTTAATTCGAATCTGTATTGTAATTTACTTTTATTGGAGGTTAATTTGTTAAAAATAAAAATCAATAGTTTATTTATTTCAAAGTATAGTACTGTAGTAAAGTCAACTCAACATTGGTTGCACCCACGTACATCACAGCTCCACTATATTCACCATGATTTTTTTATCTAATCATACGTAAATTCTTACTCGTATTAATCATAATCACTCGACAGTAACATAAAATGTTTAATTTTTTTTAGGATGTGTTTATTGCGGGAGTTGACTGCATTTAATCTTGACTAAATCCTGATTTGTTGAAATAGAACCAGTAACATACTGTATTATTTATTACAGAAACTGAGCTTTCACGGTAAACTCGCAAAAATAAGATAAAAATAATACAACAGGGTGAAACCTGCACTGTGAATTAGTAAAATCTGCTACGTAGATCATATGAGGGTGAAATTCGTTTTTGCATAATAAAAAACGTGGATTTCAACCTAACGTGATCTACGTAGCGGATTTTACTAATTTACAACGCGGGTTTCATCCAGTCCTAAAATAATTATATATTATTAATGACATGTAAAATCATTTTGATCAGAAACTTTAGAGAATATAATTCATATTCAGTGAATCTGAAATTCAATAATTCATGCGAACATTGCAAATCAATAATATCGCTATTCACAAAACATGAAAAAGAAATTCAGCAAAATCCTTCAATTAAACCTTATCTCAATTAACTCTATCTACGATATCCATAATAACTATTATTGATCGATGATTTATAATATAACTTAACGCACCACATTGATAAATTTTGAATTTTTTTGTTTCTCGTTAAACATTCCAGTATCGTGCCTTTATTCTACCTACAAATAGAATGGGCTCTCACTATGTTACAAAAAGTGCTTACTAATAAGCTAAGCATAAAGATCATTTACGCACGGAGCTGAAATTACTGTATTTACATATAGACGACAAAAGTGAGGCACTTCATACATTGACGGCCTGGTCAGCATTAATTAATCGGCCTCATCATTACCTTATTCCTAATCATAATATTTGGCAAGATGCATTTGAGGTACGTATGTACAGCTAGGGATGTAAAATTACAGCAATTTGTAATTTTGCGGTAAGTTTGAAATTTTGATTTTAATGTAATTTTGACACATGTAGTTTCTGATATCAAATTTTCGGCGATTGAAGAGTTACAATTCGGAACGCATGATATACCGGTAGAAATGGGAAAGTTTAGTAAGCATATTATTACTTATTATTTCCAATTAGGTATTTCTTCTAATTACAAATAAGTACAGTCAGGGATTTTTCAAATTCGTGTAACGCAGATTATTTCTCTTTTTAATTGAAATTAGGGTAAGGGTTAGTGTAGTGTTAGGGTGAGGGTAAGTTCTATAGTAAAATTGCCTCGCCGACATTTTTTATTAATGCCCAAGGTAGGTTTAGACGCTCGTTTCTTGTATTTTTGTAGTGTTCCAAATCGTTAGTTGAAAAATCAACTAGTTGCCAACTTTCCAACTAGTCGATTTGATCATTCAACTAGTACAATTCCGAGAAATTCCGTCTAGTCGGGCAGATCCGTATTAATTCCTTTGGTTTGATTGGCT